CATTTCTGCCTCCCCCTCGTCTGTTAGTTTCTGATATGAGGACATATGATTGTTCCGTCCCGGCTTCCTTCCTTCGGGCTTCTTCATTCATCAGGGCATATGTGACCATCTGCATAGTCACCTTCCCATTTGGAGCAGAATTACTGAGAGTGACAACAAGAGTCTCCCAGCTGTCAGGTAGAGAGCTCAAGAGTAGTATCGCCTGCTCTTCATCTTTGAGAACCCATCCGGTGGTGCTCAACTGATTCACAAGATCCTGGAATTGACTGGTGTGTTCTGACACCGAAATACCCCCACGTAATTTGTGGTTTACTAATCTCCTCATTAGTAACGTCTTATTTCGGGCGGTTTTTGCTTGATACATGCTACCAAGCTTCTCCCATAGTGTGTAAGCACTTTGTTCTTGAGCAACATGGTGGAACACCTATGATCTATCCATTGTCGAATTTGTGCGACAGTTTTTCGATTCATTTTTGTCCATTCTTCATCCGTCTTTTTATCCGGTTTCACACCATTATTATCAAGAGGATCCGCTAAATCCCTCAAATTTAGCAAATCCTCCATCCGAGGCTTCCACATATTGTAGTTTGTGGATGTGAGCGCAATCATAGTGTCCGACGATGATTTATCCATAATAAAACGCTCTATATATCTCGTACCTTATTTTCGAAGCCGAATTTGGACAAACGGAGCTCACCGTTGGATCCGGAATGGCCGAAAATGGTAAGGACCGGTCTGACCTCATCCAAAACTGGTCTGGAAACGGGTGAACCGGCCTCCAAAAGCACAAACCGGTTCGGTCCGGTTCAGGCAGCAGCCCAGCCTGCAGCCCAGCAGGCGAATGACGTGGCTCTGCTCCCTCGCTGACGTGGCGATGACGTGTAGCCACGTGGAGTCTGACGTGGCTCACAGCGGACGGCTCGGGTGGATGACGTGGCGGATGACTCGGCACCACGTGTCGCTGACGTGGTCCAACGTGGCGATGACGTGGCAGCTGACGTGGATCGTCTTCTTCCTCTCGACTGCGTGATGACGCATAGATGATGCAGGCAGTTTTCCGGCGGCCCGTACGGCCTCTTCCGGTGGCAAAAAAATCCCCAAAAATACCAGATTTCTCGTCTCGCCGAGACGAATCTAACGGTATGATCAGATCCTGATTCCGAGCAACTTGAAAAATCATGATTTTCTAACTTGTAGAAATTTATCTGAAAAATGAGAAAACAGTGTATGGAAACTCAACCTCGCTCTGATACCACTTGTTGGGATTGGAAAATTCTTCTATTCAATATCAAGAACAGAATTACAATAGGAGGAGCAAACTCTCACACTCAACTATTACAAAAAACCAATCCTCGCCAATACACTTCTACACTAAGTGTATTTCACTCTTCACGCACTTTTCTCACTTTCTAAACTGATACTATGAACAACAATGGAGCACTCTATTTATAGGGCTGGTTTGGAGACATGAGGAAGTTGCATCCAAGCTTCCTAGTTATCTCCATATCTTCTCCCACACCTATTTGTTGGAGAGCTCTTTCCAAGAAGGTGCCTCCATGTTAAGGTGTCTCTTGGCAACTTCCAAGAAAGAAGGTGGAAGATACCTACAAGTTCTCCCGCCTTCCGGTCTTGAACGTGATGCAGAGTTTCAGCCTATTGATTTCAATAGCAATCTAGATGGAAGATCGAGAGCAGAAATCTGGGATAGGTGGCGCTCATATGGCCCTCCATCGCCCAAACCCATCGGCTCTTAGAAAGTAACTCTGAAGATCGGGAGCAGAAAACTGGACCTCCATCGGCCAAACCCTTCCACCCCTCTTCGACCAACATAGCTCCAATTGATTACATTTTATACTTAGCTCTAGAAATCATGTAATCAGCTCATTAGAGGCTTTATTTTGTACCGAGCCTCTCAGGTCCAAGTCCTGGGAGTCCAACCCAAATTTCATCTATAAGAACTTCCCTTGAGGATAGTTGTAAAGAGTTGAGAAATATTAAGTACTAGCACTTTTTCTCTCTAACTCTCACTTCTCTCTAGATAAATAATCTATCATGAATGTTTGTAAAAAAATAAATAAAAGTTTTCCAACTTTTATTTTAAAGAAATATGAAATGAGTGCTTTCAAGTAACCATTTCTGATTAAATTAAGAACTAAAATTTATAACATAAAGCAAACAGATGAGCGATTTAATTTGTATACATTTTTTCTATTACACAGAAAATTATCAAATTTTAATGTAGTAGCTAGATAATTACTTGATTGAGAAATTATATTGTAGATAGTAACTTTATGGATTGTAAAAATTGCTTCTTTTTCTCATGCCACTACACAGTATATTTGCATTTTTTCCTCATGCCACTATACAGTGTACAATACATCATTATTTCCCCGTACGTGTAGCACCATTGGCGATGTAACATGAAAGTATCTATTTCTTATTTTACTATCATAAGTACTATACTACGAATAAATATATGTATTCCTTAAAAATTATCATGAACAAACATACTATTAACACTACAAAAAATATAGATTTCTCGACGGATATTTAGCAACGGTTAGTACCGTCCGTAATTAACCACGGAATTGCCGATGGAATATTGATGGAGTTGTTGCAAAGCCGTCCCTAAGTCGTTGGTAATTTGCGACAACCGTGCCGACGCTTATTTTCGTCGCTGAATTTTGTGCAATTTAGTAACCGTATTGCAACAATCTCTGCAACGCACGGGTGAAATACTAGTAGTAACTGTAGCAGTAGCTATAGCGGTAGAGCCGTAGAGGTAGAGGTAGAGGTAGCAGTAGCTATAGCGGTAGAGGTAGCAGTAGCTATAGTAGTAGCGATAGTGGTAGTAGTAACAAACTAACAACAATAATAATAGTAAATATATAACAATAACAATAACAACAACAATCGTAATAGTCAATGGCAAACCCAATAAGGGTCTCACGGTGTCCCGAGACCCCTCAGACTTAAAAAGTACGTATATATATTATACCCCCGTCCCTTATAACTTTTCCAACTTTCATTTTTTGGTTGTCCAAAAAACTTTGCCACTTTCCCTTTTAATCAATCAATTTGTGGCTCTTGTTATTTCTCTCTCCTCTGCACAAATTTCTACCACACAGTTTTTACTTTATTATTCTACGTGCCGGTCAAACATGACAAATCTTTAAGGGACGGAGGGAGTATGTATTTTATATAAAATCAAACAATAAACGTATATATACCTCAAAAACTACTAAGGAACAAAAAAAATTGAGTAGGAAATGGGATCACACGTGATTTTAAGGCTTTCCTAAAAAAAGGATGATACCCCATCGCTGAGGACCCTCAACCCCGACCGGACGGTACGTTGGGAGGATAAAAGAGCTTTCCTTCTTGTGTGGAGGACTGGAGGTATTGAACTATTGATTTCGAACCCCCGGGCCCCCCCTTTTTTTTTAAAAAAAATATTATTATTCTAAAAGTCCGCATCTCAGCGTTGTCTAAAAACTTAAATATAAACTCCGTCGATATGAAAATAGTGTATAGACTCCGACAATACTTTTTTTCACTACATTCCACTGCCGTTAATAAAAAATAATATTTTTCTTTAATTTTTTTAAAATAATTATTCCGTATGAAATTTTAAAAAAATACACATTTTGATGTTACAAAATTAAACTTGTGTTACTTTTTTTTTTTACTTTTTCCAATTGTGATAAAATTGATATGAGTTTATGTCATTCATGGAGGCGCCATGAATTAAAAAATTATATACCATGTTTTGTTGCCTAAAAAGCTCCGGCAGTTAAAACTTCATATTTAGTTAAAAAGTTTATATATGCAATATTGATGAGGTATTGATATATTATGTGAACATTTTAGAGTACAAATAATAAAGTTATACGAATTTAATAAAAGAAGGTTTAACTAATTATTTCTGATTGCCCTAGAAGGTTTTCGCTATTTAATTTAGATTTAAATAATTCAACTACATCATTCTGATTGATCCATGTGAACAAAAGTACGGTACCTTAAGGGTACCATAGAATCTGCCTTTTTGAAGATAGAATGCATAGCGAGGATGTTTTCTTTTGGACTGAAATTTGTTGGTCTGATCTGAACTGGTTTGGTATGGTCTGGTAAATGTCTGATCTCTGTGTATTTTATAACTACGAAAATCTGGTCTGATCTGGTCGGTTATAGAATTGAAAAGAGGAAAGGGTTAATTCAGTACACCAACTTGTACGAGGTGGAGTAAAGAGTACATTATATTGCATTTGATCTTTTTAAGTACACAAATTCGGGATTTTAGTGTTAATTGAGTACATTTGTTAGATTAAAACGTTAATACAGCTGAATTGGCTAACAGAATGTCGAGTAAGAAGTGGTAATGGACCAATGTTATGGTACCGACCTTCACAAAGTCGATAAAAAAGGAAAAATTGACCTTCGGAGATCGATCTGCGGGGGCGTCGGCCAGCAGTGGTGCATCGACCAAGGAGAAGTCGACCTGCGGGGGACTGACGTCGACCAAGGGGAAGTCGATCAAGTGACTGGGGGCTGACGTTAGACCTTCAAAAAGTCGACCTAATAGCATTCTGTTAGCCAACTCAGTCATATTAACATGTTAATCTAACGAGTGTATTCAATTAACACTAAAAACTCGAATTTGTGCACTTAAAAAGATCAAATGCAATATAATGTACTTTTTACTCTACCTCATACAAATTGACGTACTCAATTGACACTTACTTTGAATTGAAAATGATCCAAAAGAAAAATCCTGTTCTTTTTTTACCTTTAATCTTATGCGTAACGGCGTGATTTAAGATGGTTCGTAAATGGCGCGCGGTTGAAGGTAAAGCATGAAAGTATGAAAGTAACCAACTCACTGCAATTCAGTATCCATTATGGCGGACACTCAGGCATCACTCCCCTCCTCCCTGCGACTTAATTACTCTGATCTTTAGTCAAATCTTAATTCTAAGCTGATTTATGGCGTCTTTATCATCTTCCAGATCTCTGTCCTCTCCGCTCTATACATGGCCAGTGGAAACACGCCACACGGACTACCTTTGCTTCGGGAAGAGAATTGGTATAAACATACTTTTCGTTTTCCTCCTAACTTATTTCTGATCCACCAGTTGATAAGAAAATGACACTCTTTGTTTGCTGCACGTAATTTCTGAAATGGATGAAAATGATATTTCTATGAAAATGTATTTGAATAGGTGTGAGAATAATATTTCTAACACTTCCTTCCATGTCCAGATTTCCACTAAATGCTAAATGCATTACACTTTTCCCCTCAGTTCCATCCTAGATTGTTTGTTTTTTCATAGTGGCCTACACCATGATTATGTATGGGATGACTCTGATATCATGTTACATGAAGTTTCAACTAAAAAATCAACTATACAAAAGAATAGTACAAAATCTTATATACGTAGTAGTAGTAGTAAAAAACTTTGTAGTTTGTATAATTTACTGGCATATGACAAATACTTCATTAGTATAACAACAAACAACAACAACATCCAAGGCTTAGTTTCAAAAGATTTTCGAGTCGGCTAATATGGATCGATACATGAATTATGTACGAGTATTAACCAAACGTAGAATAACATGCCACTCCAGCTATGCTTATTGCAACTTGAAATAACAGATGAAAAAGTAAGTAGGTGTTGAAGATAATGGATATGAAATGCAAGATTGAATGAATAAATTTGCCGAGGCGATCCCAAGATGGAAATGCGTGTCTGTTTTACATGATAACACCCACATTGATATATATGTATATGTATATAACAGAAAAGCCAAGAGGTGTAGCTGTGTATGCTGCAACTGAAGAAACACGGAGTACAAAAAGGAGAGTAGTGGTTACTGGAGTTGGTGTGGTATCGCCGATTGGGCATGATGCAGATTTGTTCTATCATCATCTTCTTGAAGGTGTTAGTGGCATTACTGAGATTCAGGCTTTCGATTGTTCTAAATTTCCCACCGTAAATCTCTTAAATCTCTCACTTATTACTTTTACAATATGTATCAGTTATATGACTATATCGTATCTCTGCTGTTAATGATATGACCACAAATGTCACCTTAACTCCGCATTAGTATGGCATTATGCGCTTTAGATCAAGTCCACACTGTTTTGTTTTGTTATCACTTCCCAGAAGGCGTCATACTATTGCAATTAGATGAGCACATCCGACCCCCTTACCCAATCGAAGGTGGGAGCCTTTGCAACACTGGGGTAATGATGATGATGATGACGATTTTTCCAATCTAAGACTTGGGTAACACCCCCAACAGTTAATGTATCCTGTTTCGGGTGATCTTTAATGTATACAAGAGAGTCTCACTTTCCTCACCTTATTGAGCTTATTAACAATTAAATCTTGTTGCCAACAGAGAATTGCAGGGGAGATCCAGAACTTTTCTGCTGATGGGTGGGTTGCACCTAAACTTGTTAACAGAGCAGATAAATCCATGCTTTATATGCTCACAGCCGGAAAGAAAGCTCTTGTGGATGGTGGAGTGACAGAAGATGTCATGTCTGAGTTGGATAAATCTAAATGTGGGATTTTAATTGGTTCTGCACTTGGAGGTCTCAAGGTATCTCTACTCTCTGATATGGAGTATTAAACTGCCACTTCTTATTATATCTACTTTTTGCTTAGCCTAAAATAAAAAAATCAACCACTTGTTACTTTAAACAGGTTTGTAGTGATGCCGTGGAGGCCGCACGGGTTTCACACAAAAAAATGAAACCTTTCAGTATTCCTTTTGGTTCACACAATATGGGATCTGCCATTCTCGCAATGGATTTGGTAAGTCTATGCTGCTGCTACAACAACAACATTACTCCTGTGCCGCAAAGGTTCTCACCTACGGTGGGGTATGGGGGAGTCGGATGTCCGCAGCCTTACCCCTGTAGAGAGACCGTTTTCGAAGGACCCATCATGAAAATCGTGTCGAAAATTGCATGGACTTACCGCTGCTTTATAAAAAAGAAGTGAAGTAGTTTAGTGAGTGATTTTGCTTTATTCCATCATAAATCTAAGCCAAAATAGCGAATTTTTGGCTCCATTGGAAATGATGGAAAATGGCAAGTCTATGTTGTTGATTCGAAATGGTAAGGTAGAAATTAACTCTCTTTTAGGCCATCTTATGATGCCCAGAAACTCTTAGGCTGGCATTTTTGGAAACACATTTGAAACCTCTAGGAAACTCTAAGAAACTTTTATAACAATTTAAATTGTGTTCCCCGTGTATTCTATTTCCCGTTTCGCGTTTCCATGAACCTAGAAGCCATCATAAATAAAAAATATGAATCAGATGTATAACTATATAAGGACTTGGAGTGAACTTCTAAAATGGAACTGTAAGGATTGTAAATGTCACCTTAACATCTCACTAGTGTGTTAACTGTCCGCTGCGCACCAACCTGCACAAATTTTGTTTTTGGACACCTCCCAAAGGGCTTCGTACTAATGGAGCTAGGTGGACATTTATATTCGTTTCATGTTGATTCTCCCTTATTAATATGGGGCTTGGGTTGCACCTAACAGAAAACTCAAATCTTGATATGGTATCAAATTATATTATACTCAAAAGAGTAGTTCCTACATGCAGGGTTGGATGGGTCCAAACTATGCCATAAATGCAAATGGTGCAACAAGCAACTTTTGCATCCTTAGTGCTGCAAATCACATTGTGAGAGGCAATACGGTAGGTGTTTTAACCAACACTTTTTTTTTCATTTTAATATTTTAATTTTTTCACATCAGTACATCGCTCTGTCGTCTTTATGTACCAATTTTCATTTCATATACCACTTCCAGGATATGATGCTTTGTGGTGGATCAGAATCTGCACTTATTCCTATAGGACTGGGAGGCTTTATTGCGTGTCAGGCCCTTTCAAAAAGGAACAGTGATCCAACAAGAGCTTCTCGTCCTTGGGATATGGTATGTTGATTTATTTCTAAAATTCGGGTCTCCGGTAAGTAGTCATGACTCATGACATGAGCTACATGTTACAAGATAACCGAACAAGTTACTTGTTTTCTTTGTAACACTATGGAGCAGGAGAGAGATGGATCTGTTTTGGGAGAAGGAGCTGGTGTGTTACTCTTGGAAGAACTTTATCACGCACAGGTCTGCTCTTAGTTCATTTGATTATTTACAACTAATAATCATGCACGATATATCTACATTTACCTAAAGAAAAGGAAAAAATAAAATATTCTTCCAAAGAGAGTTGTGTTTCTTTTAATAAAAATAACACTATTGTTATGAGTCCGGCATTTAGAATGTTAAAGAAATATAGATGGTTTATAAGACATTAGGTGTAGACTAGTTAATCATTTGGATACAATCATTTAGCATGATGTGGCTAAAGTATATTGTAATTCCACTGAGGCTCAACCCAATTATGAGTTCTATGAATGACAAATCTGACTTTTTATAAGACAGAAAAGAAGGGCAAAGATATACGCAGAGATCTTAGGGGGAAGCTTCACTTGTGATGCTTACAATGTGACCGATCCACACCCAAACGGTAGCAATTGCATTTGCTTGATAAGTTCTTCTCGTATAAACTTTATTTCATATCTCTAGTTACTACCAATCTACCATATCATATTATCATTGCACTTGTAACCATCACTCTTCGAACAAATATAAAAATACAAACTAGCGTACCTTATATGATATTGAACAACTCATCTTATCAGGTTGATTTTGTAAAATAGAACCTCAAATTTTAATGTCACCATATCGACTTTTCTTGTTATAATTACTGCTAACCAGAAGTAAGAGAAATTGTGGTAAACGAAGTAACGTTTGCTTAATACTCTTTGCTCCATTGCATTGCAATTTATCAGGAGCTGGTGTTGTTATGTGCATTGAGAAGGCCTTAGCCCAATCTGGGTTGAGCAGAGAAGATGTCAATTATATCAATGCCCATGCCTGCTCAACCCCAGCAGGTGACCTCAGAGAGTATGAAGCTATAATTCGTTGTTTCGGGCATAACCCTGAGGTAATATCTCCTGTTTGGATCCCATGGATTAAGTACCTTCCAGGATGGACTAGATCATAATCTGTAAGCTACATTATCCATATTATCTTTTCAAATTTAAGCCCAACAGATCATAAGAGTTAGTAAAAGTATCAGTTTTAAAAGCTGCAAGAGTAGTACATAAATTTTAGAAGTCCATCTCTTATATGGAGGGTGACATATTAATAGGCTTCTTATGCTAGCCGTGCTAGATATTAGCATATTCTTTACAATAACTAGACTTTCACACTGCTTTTATATTCAAATCCAACAGCATATAAGTTATAAATTCGAACTATGGAAGTCAACTTTAAAAGTAAATAATGACAAATACTATCGTATATGAGTAAAACAAAATACTCCCTCCGTCCCATTAAATTCTTCCCACTTTCCTTTTTGGGCTGTCCCAAAAAATTCTTCCCACTTACCATTTTTGGACAATTTGTGTGGTTCACATTCATTTTACCTTTTTCTTACACAACTATAACCACACATTTTCACTTTATTACACTTTCTTAATCTTCGTGCCAAGTCAAAGTGGGAAGAATTTTCTGGAACGGAGGGAGTATACTAGTACAAGTTTTAATATGCAGTGACCAATTGACCATAGTGGTATTTTTGCATTGACTATTGACCATGATGAATTGATGATGTATATACTAGTACAAGTTTTAATATGCAGTGACCAATTGACCATAGTGGTATTTTTGCATTAATTAGTGACCATGATGAATTGATTAGTGATCATGATGGTATATACTCGTTGTAACCATGGTGACCACTTAGTCATACTTTGTCCATCTTATAGGAAAACCCTTTTAAAAGTGTACTCAATAAGATATGAAGTCCGTCTCTTTTATGGTGAGGATGTGAGTAAATTCAAAGGTAGATACTTTAGGAGATCTTACCTAAAGTGTACATTGAGTATTTCCACCGTAAAACTAAAATGCTTTCTATGACATTCTGCATTTGATTTCTCTGAACTATATTCTCTTTTCTTTGACAGCTTAAAATTAACTCTACAAAATCTATGATTGGTAACCTCTTAGGAGCTGCTGGTGCAGTGGAAGCTATTGCGACGATTAAGGTTATCAACTACTCCCTTTATCCCTTAAAACTTTGTCAACTTTCCTTTTATGGATGTCCTACTAACATTGCCACTTTCTCTTTTGAGTAAAGAATTTGTGGTTCTAGTTAATTCTCTCTCCTCTGCACAAACCTCTATCACACAGTTTTTACTTTATTGATCCTCGTGCCGGTCAAACTTGGCAAAGTTTTAAGGGACAGAGGGAGTATACGTCTACAACCTCTGTCTTGACATAATCTTACTGTTTATCTGTAGCAAAATAATTTCCATGTTTCCTTTCAAGAAAGAAAAGAACTTTTGATATCGTTGCACTAATTTCAACTCAATCTGAACTAACCACTTCAATCTTCAACTATTCTCTTAAATTGTGTTTCACCTTCCGTTTCTACATAAAAAAATGAAGTGATAGCTGAAATTCGTTTTTGGTTTTTTTAAATGACAGGCTATCCAGACAGGGTGGATCCATCCAAACCTCAACCTTGAAAACCCTGATAAAGACTTTGTATTATTATGCTTCTCTCAAATCTAAATTCTCTTCAGCTCCGTTGGGTACTCTAGAACTTATAACCACAATGAATTAGAGTCTAGTGCTAACTTGGTATTGTTACGTACCAAACGGAGCCTCTGATTGTTTGCTTTCTGATTTCTACAATGTCCAAGAATAAGTGCTGTTCTGAATACCAAAACAATATTTAAGATAAATCTACATTTTGGAACCTGGGATAATATTCAAGAACTAATGCTGAGATATAATGTAGGACACAAACGTGGTGGTTGGTACAAAGAAGGAACGACTGGGCATAAAAGTGGCGCTTTCTAACTCATTCGGATTTGGAGGACTGAACTCTTGTATTCTATTGGCGCCCTTTAATGGTTAACCGCCTTGTTTTTGGCCTTCACCTTTTCTATACCCGAAAATATGGTTTCTTTTCTATATCAGCAGGGATGATATTTTTTAGTTTTTACACCCCTTTCTTGAAAAGGCTAGTCATTTTTTTATCATCTGATTTGCATACCATAAATTTATCTTAGGAGAGACTTGACTCTATCTTTTATCAAACCTCCAGGAATAGTAACTGGCTAGCTAATTTGGAACAAATGAAGTAACATATATAATAATGTATTAATAAGTTAATAACCAAATTGGTCACTCATAGGTTAAGCCTATAGAGATGAGCCAAAGAAATGCAGTCTCATACTCTCATTTATATACCCCATTAGTTGCTTGTGGTCAAAAGTTGCATGAAACAAGCAATTTGCATCAAATTTTCAAAATAACGATGGAGAAGAACCACGTTGGTCAAAATTACACCAATGTGTTATTGAAAATACATCATAACTATCTGATTAGTGGGGTGAATCAAGATTTTAAAAGGGCAGTTTGGAAGGACAAACTACAAAGAATTAGTAAAAACACAAAATGTACTTAAAACTCGCATAGACAGGCTAAATTGGCCATCCATCTTGTAGTTACTCTGTTTTACATCATATATGTGTGTGTGTGTGAAGGAATGACATAATATCTCAAATCCCGATACTTAGAAAACCAGTCTCTTGAAACGAGATACCGTATAAACAATGTTCGGCGAACGTCATGTAACTTTGAGGTAACCAATTGCAAATTGTGATGATTTGGAGATGTCCAAAAGAGTGACATATGAATACCCAAGACTGATTCTTGATTATCTTGTGTCATTTGTGTGTTAGACATAGATGTTGCCATCTGAATCACCAAAGCTTCTTTCTCACCCAGAGTAGGAGGAAAACAACTCCAAGGACAACAGCTACTGGGGCCCATTTCCGTATCAAAGCCTTATATGATATAACAAATAAAAGTTGTTTAAATATTTTTCGCCCATGCAAATAAAACTGACTTTGGTTATTCATCCTTGTATTTTATGTCGCTTTCTTTTTCATCCCCCACACATAAAATAAAAAATAAAAATAAAAACTGGTGTGACCGACGAGATAAGGACAATGTCAACTTTCCCTCACACTTCTGAGATAAAATTTTAAGCATCTTTCTGAAAAATAATGTGGAACATCCAAACTGGAATTTTATGAGCAACATCAGTTTTCTTTAAGATTGAAGTTGATAGAGAAGGATTAAATAGCAAATGGCATAAATTTTAAGGATAAGTATAAATAAATACAGGGAAATAAATAACTGTACACAAAACTGCAACAACAAAAATGTCACCTTTGCAAATTAAAACTACCTGGCGATTCAAATCTTTTGCTTTATCGGCATAAATGCGAGATTCTGATGTTAAGCGGCTGGACATTTCACTAACCTCTGCAGAAGTAAATTCATAAGGAAGCAATTAAAAGAACTACTATTATTATGCAAAAAAACAAATAATGAACAGCCCTAAATTGTAAAATTTTGCCTTAAAACAATTATTAACTTACGGTCCAACTTTTCACCAACACTGAGAACCTCCTGTACATTCCGAGTCATTATTTGATGAACTTCATAAAGTTCATCATTCAACTTTGTGATGTTGCGTTGCGTTTTTGTGTCCTGATAAAGTTTCTTGGTTTTTTGAATGAATGTATCTTTAATCATATTAAAAAAGAGGAAGATCAGTATCATTTCAAGGATAACTAAATTGAAATAACCCCAAAAAATACAATAAGGTCTTTTTACCAAACTTAATAAAAGCGTAAGGTCTAGCAGCAGTTTCAATTTGACTCTTATTGACCCGCTCAAATTCATTCTTAAGGTCTTCCAGATATTGAAAGGCAAGCTTCTTAGGATAAGAACGCTCACACATTGTTAGGTAACAAACATGTCCTTCAATTATATAACTGAAAAACTATGTTAAGAAAGCACTACAGAAACATCATATTTTTACATGACAAATTGAGATTACTTTTCCAAACCAGTAACACATTAGCTGGCAACATATATGCTTCAAACCAGACCCCAATGCTGAATGTCAAGAAATGGTAACATACATGAGCACAAAACAGTATAGTACTATGGTAAAAAATGCATTGCTGAATTCTATTTCCGAAGAGGCTGCTCAAATGGAAGGTCTTGGGGTGGGACTTAAGAAAGCTTAGTCTATATCTTAATATACATTTGAGGTTTTGTAAAATTGAAAGATTGACATAATATGCGATTTTATGACACATTTCAATCACCTTTTACATTTTCAGAAACATGTTGTGTATCCGGATAAACCCCCCAGTGTTCCCCTCCAAAAACCCTCCATCGGAAAAGTCTAAAAGAGAGATCTATTATCAAAAGTGTGACTACCGACTAGAGCATCCATATGCATATAATCCACTCATTAAAAATTCCTGGAACAATAATAATTGAACAAGTGTTAGCATTTTCAAACAAAAAACAATTCACCCTGAACATGTAACTTTTGGAAATGACAACTGCCATAATACAATAACAGAACTCAAACCTTAAAAAATCACTCCAATTCACCTCATCATCATGACAACCACTGTCTACCTTAACCCAACTAAACCCAAAAGAAATGTGTGTCATGAACTAATCACATAAAAGTATTATTTGGAATTATTGCCAATACGGGCATAGATTTAACAAAAGAGATTTTACTACACAAAGGATACTGGAATGTGTAAGGGCCAGTCTCAATGGACATTCTAGAAGGACCGTTATTGCCTCGTGAAAGGTTCTTGAACAAAATTTTGACCTGCTGTTTGTACCTCTCCATGTCTGGTATATCACGCCCATCATCCAATCCCTCAACTAAAAGGAGGCCATCAGTCACACGGGCAATCATTGTCAGCTTCACCATCTTTCATTCACAAGATCAAAGCTACACACAAGAAGGATGAAAAGAACATTAAACAAAAGTATACCAGAAGCTTGTTGTGGAGCTCAAAGAGCTGGTGGTGACTGGTGGTACCATACAAACTCAACCAAATACACCCTTTTCTGAAAAAGCACTATACAGCATATACATAAATACATCGTTAAATTATTTTCTCATCTAAGAAGCAAATTTTCCAACATACTGTAAAGAAATTCAAGCAGGAAGCTATCTCCTACCTCCATCGCATTATTATCTCCTGTTTTGAATTGGCACAGGATTATGAAAGTGAAAATTGTGGAGAAACAACTTGAACTACAAATTTTTTGCTTTAAAAGTAAAGAGGACTTTATTTTGGGACAAACACCAAAGGAAAGTTTGATGTTTAATTTAGGACAGGTGATATATTCAATAATGCAATTTGACTTACCAATTTTTTTACAAAACTGACAGCAGAAACAATAAAATAAATCAAGGTAGGCTCTCGAGTCTCCAGAAAAGAAGCATCCATGCTGATATCTAAAATATATAATGAATTTCTATTAGCTTCTTTAGTTTACATAGCATTACTAACGCTCAATTCTAATGTAGCAATGACAAGTTAACAATAGCTATTTTCAGGTTCTCATTAGCAAAAATTTAAACATTTTGAAATTTATCCCCACCAATGAATGAAGGTTTGAAAAAAGCTCGTGGCCAACATCACTCACTCAATGAATTGAACTAAGAATATTCACTTTCATCACACGGCCACACCAGCAATCGAACATCTCTTCAATGAAGTAAGACAGTAAGAGGCCAATTTCACTCAATGAATTGAACTAAACAATAAATAGAACAAACTCACAAAAACAGGTTCCTTAAAGTAAGAGGTAATATTAAAAATCAAATGAATACCATTTAAAGTAACATATACAAAAAAATCAAAAAATGAAAAAAAAAAAAACGGATTGAAAAAGAACCCAAATATATACAGAGGAATCAGTTTGTTATATTTAAAAATAACAAAGCAGATACTTTTCTGAAACTTGAAACTAAGATCTGTAGAGTGCAGTTTCATAGACATCTTCGAAAATACAGGTCTAATAGAATATATGTATAGTATTCAGATTTGGAATTTAAACCACCAATCTAAAAAATCATTAATATAATATTCATTTCTTGATAATTGAACTAAGACGTAATTTTGCTTCAGGGTATTTGATAAGGTTGGAAGTTGAAACAGCTAAAGACTGTAAGATGAGCGCACAAGATCAAAATGAAATACCTGATAAGGAAGAAGGTTGAATTGTTGAGGCCAAGGAAATATTGTGCCAATCACAAGATCAAAGCTACACACAATAAGCGCAATCTTTCTCGGAATTGTAAGTTTGTAGGAAAAAATAGAGTTGGGCCCAATACTATTCAAATAAATTGAGCTTGTTTTAAATTGGACCAAAAAAATTTTGCTCTAGTTTTGTCTGATCTAATTTGTTTAAGTCTATTCTAGTCTGAACTAGAAAATGTACAATTTCTGCTCTAGTTTGGTCTGATATAATTTGTTTAAGTCTATTCTGATTTGAACTAGAAAATGTATGGTCTATTTATATTTTAGAAATGTAGAGGTTTGGTTTGCTCTAGTCTGTTCAACTCTAGTCTAGTTTATTAAAGTCCGGTACCTGAGACTGAAATCAATTCAAGTAAAAAAAACATCTTTAATCACACATTGGTGGAAAGAGGGGTGTTTCACCCGTTGCCCGCTAAGGGGTGGTGCGGTAAGCCCATAGGATGTTGTGAAGTTCCTCTACCCAGCCCCCTTCGACTTCCAGCTTCTTTTTTAGGCCCTCGAGCAAGGTGGAAAGAGAGTGGGGTGTTAGGCCAAGTCATTCGTTGGAGTTGAACGCAAGATGTTTCTCTCATGACATCCTTTTTCCTCCAGGTGAGCTACACCCTCGTCGTGTATTATTTTCTAGTCCATTCTTGTTTAAGATCCTTATAATGCTTTCTTTTTAATTCTGATTTAACTTTAGGGCAATTTCAATTTAGAAAAAATGTTATATCAATCAAAAAAAATTATTTGAACTTTTAATTTGATCATTTTAAAACTTCTTAGGTTCATGTTGGAGTTGAAAATTGAAATGAAGTGAAACTGATTATTCCGATTTTAGGTTTTAATGGCAGCTCTCTGGTAAATGAGATGATAAAGAATATAGAATATATATTATACATTTAGTTAGGGTTGTTTCACTGACTCACTGTCCAAAAGAGATTTTATATTAGGATGAGTAAGGGGCTAAAAGATATAGTAATATTACTATATCATCAGGAGCCTACATTGCATGATGGAGATGAGCATGGGGGTAATGCCTCTGATGGAGTTTCTTTGAAGAAAGAAGATTTTCCAAAGAATGGCGCAAAATTTGTGAAAACATATTGGCTAAAGTACATAGATTGGATGGTGAGAATTTCTTAAACATGCCATCCTAATGGGGGCAATTTAATTTTAATGAGTTATATCGATTTTGGTTCCAAATATAAACGAGAATGACTCTAGGTTGATTAGTGCACACTCTAGAATCCGATCACTCAACTCAACTTTTTCGATGCCAAGCCACCTACAAACAAATTCCGTTCCCGGTTCTGGGTAGGAGGAACCTGAGACTGGGATCTAAGCAGTCCGGTGGTAACAGGACCTGGTTCATGTCCACCCCTACCCCAATGACCCAATCCAATGTGTTGTTTCCTTTGTCATTGCTAGACCCCCGCCGCCCCATAATGGAGGCGGAGCAGCAATGCCGTCACCACAAAACATAAACAAACTGATCAAAAATTAATGCAACACAGCTCATGCGTTAAATACATACATGTAGCGAAAAAATGAAGCCTTGCAAAGCCAAAATTGCATAGATATTCCCCCAATTGAAATTTTGTTTTCTCATTAATACAAATATTGACTGAAAGTAACTCTACATGGATAGAATGCACAAAGAAACAAAATAATAAGAATAACTATTACTGTGATATACAAAAGAGTATTTGCATTATTGTACCCCTCAACACCGCTTGCACATCATATCCCCGTCATTCCTATCTGTTTGGGAGTGTCATTATCTGATCTTTGAGTCATTTCCCTTATTACGGAAGGTCGGCAAGGAAAAAAATGATCTTGGAGCTGTAGAATGAATGTGAATGTCAGAACACACAAATTGCTACACTAAAAAATGTTCATATGCCAAATGAAAGTTCTAAGCTAATATGGTTAAATGGTTCATTATCTATCTAAGGACCACTCCCACAGTCCAATCATCACTTCGCAAAAGTGACACGACAATCTTGATATAAAAGATGCTTACCTTTTAGCGATGAGCTTCCAGACAAATGATCATCCCTCAGTTTGAAATTAGCAGGAGGAGCCGGTATCGAACCGCGCACTGTTTGTACTAAAAACACATTTTCATTAATAGGTTGTTGAAGACTGAATGAACAGTACTAATATGGATTTTATTTATAAAAAAAGTGGAAACCTGATTTGGACAAATAAGAAGCAAGCCCAAAAAAAAAACTAACCAACACTATAAGAGTATAAAAGATTACACCTGCTCATTGACCATGTAACGGTATTTTGTTATTAAGAAAATGTCTGTTAAAAAATAAAAATTTGTATTCAATGAAATGAAGGATCCTGCCTCTTTTCCTTGATGAACAAGTGGAATTTTTAACCATTTAAAAAATCCAAATTGGTAAAAAACTAAAAATATAATAGTTCTATGAGCCTTTAGAAACCATACCCCATGTCTCATATTTCTTACTTCATGAAAAGGTGCACACACTGTTAAGGAATGTAACAAAATGACCCTACTATGGGCATTTTATGAATGCATTTTATTTCTTTTGGAGGTATATTAGCATTTATTGAACAAAAGTTAATGTGTACAAACTGGAAAGTTGAAAAATTAGTAAAAAACGTTGAATTCCCATGATGACAATGAAATTGGGACGGAGAGTATGTTAAAATGTCATAGCTCACCTTGCTCAGCAAAGAACTCGTGTTCATTGAAATTGTCATCAGAAGGGTGACCTTGCAAAACACCCATCCTAGATTTCTTCATCATATCATCCGACAAACGATTGGCAGGCTCACGTCCATCTTCGGTATCATCATCTCCTTCAGAAGTAGTGGCAGAAATCCAGTCAACGGAACTTTCCGCTCCACGGGGTTTCCTTCCGAATTTTAATAATCTCTTGAACCCTCGAGTCATATCTTTGCGGGGCTGATTGTTGGAAGAAGTGGAAACCAGCAAAGGTTTCTGAACAGTTCCCCACTTTTTCCTCATTCTAGCAGCATCAGATTCTGTTTGGCTTAGTGAATGAGAATTCCATGAAGCAAGGCTTTCCGCTGGGGGGGAGTCCACATAGGCATCAACATCAGACATCTCATTAGAATAGGAAAACTGATGAGGAGCATGTGAATTCCACGACACAGGGCTTTGTCCATCTTGCAGTGGTTCAGCAGAGTCCAGCATGGAAGGTGTGAATTCAGATGCCAATATAGGGTTAAAATGGGAAAATGACCTCACAAGATCACCACCACTCTCTGATCCAAAATCAGAAGATTTTTCTGATTCGTGGCTCAATATTGAATCCCTTTTACCCATGTTAGAGATATGCTCTGTATCCTCAAGCATGTCCTCTCCATCTTTGATTGGGCTGTTAGACAAATGTACTACTGCATCATTGTATTCCCCGTCACTTTGTGTGTTCTGACACCCTATAAATCTTCTCTGTTTTGGGACCCCGACCCTGGCACCACTATCTGATGCACTTTTACCCTTGCTGTGGAAAATCCTTGAGTCCACATTGTTCCTCACTTTATCAATAATCTTGTCAATTTTAAGCGTCAAAACATCTTCAGAGTCCAAAATAGATGCCTCACCAAACTCTCCCTGATTTATGGTGCTCTTTCTTAGCAAATGTGATCTCCAAGATTTCTCCTCCTTAACGGCCATGTCATCTTCACTATTATGTTTGTTGCGAGCGTAGTTTTTAAGTTGGGAACGTGCTGTTTGTCCCACTGCAGAGGAAATCTTTGTGGTCTCTATTCCCATGTCTGAGAAGTTAGGGACAGATTGTGCCAGGGGGTTTTCGGATTGGGATTTTCTCCTGCCAGGATTGCTATTAATAGTACCTTTGATAGCTGGCCTTGTAGAAGCTTTAGCTGGCAGAGGCTTTTGAACTTGACTGCCTGTAGAAGCATCATCCTCAAGAAATGCATCACTTGTCTCACTCGGATACCTTCCTTCTCCATACTGATTCTCCTCGGAAAATTTGGTCATGCATTCATTTTCATGTTGATCAAAATCCAAATGTTGCTGTGAAAAAGAATTCCGTGGTTGGTGAACACAGTTACTTATGACAAGGAGCAAAATCATATTGAATTATCAACTAATGAAGTCAACAACATAATGTTCAGTAAAAAACTCAAAATACTTCTTCCAACCCAATTCCCAAATAAAAAGTTTTGCCTGTTTCAGTAAGGTGCAAATTATTTTTAGTCAACTCAATCACGCTACAAGCTTTTACATATAATGAATGGTCAGATGGTAAATTCCACACTTAACTTATATTTAGTCAAGTCAACTTATTCTTCCATGATCGCTTGTAGCAATTAACTAAACACACTTATTTCTTGTAAATTTACTTGCAAATGAAAGTTGACTTTTAAAACTTGACTTTTTGGGGGACAAGAAGGTTTTTATAACAAATCCTTCTTTTTCGATAGATGGGAGTAACACCAATAGGCCCTTTTTGGGAATCGAAACTAGTACTTTTTACCTTTTCTCTCCTCAAAATTGACCTGCTATCAAAAGTCTTTAGTCTTTCTGCACGTCGGTGCAGAGTAGAAACAGAATCGTCCTTATATGAACATCCAGAAAACTTAGCTTTCATCTTGGCTCTAGTCTTTTCTAGGCTTTCATGCATAGCCTTTAGTTTTGCTTCCTTTTCATTTCGCTTAGAATTCCATTCTTTCCTTAGTTTTGCATCTCTTATCCGCGTATATGTCGCATAGGATTTTCCTCGAGAACCTTCTGAAGCACAAAGCTCAGAGACACCCTTGCTTAGAACATCTGTACACCCTTTATTATCAATGTTTACCAAGCCACTTGAAGAAGTCACAGCTGCTCCAGTTACCGTGTTTTTGTCTGGGTACTGGACAGAAGTATTATCTGCTGCAGGACCAGTATGCAATGAATTTGCTTGTTGTGGGGCTGGTATTTCAGTAGGCTTGGTTTTGCGGGCAGGATTTGACTGCTTATGTTCAGCAAAGAGCTTCTCAAGCTCATTTGCCTTGACCTTTAACTCATCATTGAGTTCCTGGTTTCCCTTGGATAGCCGTACCCTCTGAACTTGTTGGACAGGGGTTGAAAAAAATGACATAGATCCCTCCTGTGCCTCTGCTACCATTTCAGCAGGGGCAGACTGATTGATATTTATGGAAACAGTTCTCATCTCTTCTATGCAATCTTGTGAGTTGTTTTTCCCATCAGCACCTACAACTTGCTTCTTCGACTTCATAATTGGAAACCCTGCTGAATTGACAACTTTTGGTCCAGAATTAGCATCTACCTTTTCAGCCAAATCTACCTTTTTCTTCTCAGATTCTGCATATGATTGAGATCTGTATTGAGAATTAAATGGATCTCCTTCAAGCCCTTTGCCTTGAGGGGTTAAAAAGGCTCTTGAGAGGGAACCACTTTCCAAAGGCCCAAAGTCCTCTTTAGTTTTCTGAGGAGCCTTGAGTCTTGAGTCTCTTGAGTTAGACACGGCCAATTCATCCCTTGATTGAGTCTCATGACTGTGATGCACTATATGGTGGGTTGCATCATCATAACTTGCCTGTCTGGTAGAAGCTCCAAACTGCTCTGGCGAAGAGATTTCGTCCTTCAAAGCAGTGACATGAGATGCATGAACTTCTGTCTTCTGAGGCTCAATAGTGCCATCACTGCCCTGACTAACTGTGGACTTTCCTTTATTAGTTACATCAACTTTTCTAGTTTTATTATCCCAAGGCAATGATGCAGACAACCCTTGAGATTCGGGTATCTCTTTCAAATTGTTCCCTGGTTTAGTTGAATACAAAATTGACTTGGGCTTCTCACCAGTTTTATCTTTTTGCCCATTGGACTCTACGGTGGTCGAATTATAAGACTTTGAGTAACTAGATTCAGATGCTTCTACCTTCTTGTGAGAAGCAGTTGACAGTTTTGATTCTTCCTTCTCATTAGAATATTGATTATGCAATTTCAAGTCTTCATGTTCTTTCACCCTGATATCACCAGCTCGATCTGGCACACTTTGAAATTCCATCTTATTAAGTGATTTTGCTTGGTCTGGTTTCGCTTCGTCTTCAGGCTTGGACTTGGAAACATATGCAGAAGATGGGGTGGTGCACAAAGGACTCTCACCATCCTTCTTTTCACTGCTCAACTCTATGCTCATGTCACTAACCCCACTCCATCTCCTTAATACTGTCTTCTCCGCAACTACGGGCGGGGAAACCAAGACATCAGAGGACATCCTTCTAAGCTCCACAGATTTTCCCGTGCTTGGCTTCCCCCCACTCCCTGAACTCTCCTTCTGCTTGTTCTCAAACATGTTGATACGATCCTGCACACTTAGCCGTCTGATGTTCCGGCTCATAGGAGTCTCCTGAGTTTCATCAAAATCTTTTTTTCCACTCTGAAAGACAACAGAAGAGGGTTTTAACGATTGATTACTAAAAGATCTGGATTGATCAAGGTGAGGACGGGATTGCTGATGCACTGCATCCTGGTTTTGACCGATTGGGGGAAACATGGTGCATTGTTGTTCTGGAGTAGGAGGGTCTTCATCTAGGGACATATCTGATCCATATGAGGATCTTACTGCATGTTCATCTGCTCCACCTGGCTTCCATTGGTTGATTAGGTGTGGCCTTTTCTTGCACAATGATATAAATTTTGAGCATGCTTCACTGTAACAAAGAATCTGTTAGTGAAATTAAACTTTGCGAAGCCAAACTCTGAAATGTACAAGGATCAAGCGGTATCACGGGCTTGCTCAGACGGGGTAGTAAAAAATTCAATGGTAGTTACATAAATTCCAACTTTTAAATAAATTCTAACTTTTACAGTTTAAAATAATGAAACTGAAGCATAAAAGTTTTCGCTTGTGTTCACCAACCCCAACCCCCATTATCCACTTTATATGATTTCTTCTTCACATGGTTTTCACTTTGATTTGTACATGAATAGAAAAGAAACAGATTAAGTGCAATTGCATACGAAACTTAGAAACAGTTAAACACCAGTGAACTCTGTCATGGCTGTGTTTAAAACATGGTCTGTGCTCCTCCAGGACTTCCACATTGCGCCTTTTCTAGATTTTGCAACTACTCATTGTACCTAATTAGGAACTTATAAGAGTCCAGCTAAAGAAATGCTGACACATTAGAACTAGAAGACACAATCTTGTCACAATGAACTTCCCCATGAACTACAAACCAAATGAGTTTGTGAAAATAACTGACATATTAAAGAATGGGGGAGGAGCTAAATGTTCTTACTTTAATCGGTAAGCACCAAATTGGGCTGAAAAACTTTGAAGTTTTGCAACTGTGTCTAGATTGAAACCAGCAGCTGTAGCACGAGATGAAGCTGTAATTAAGTCCTGTTGAACTGCTGATAGCCTCACATCAATGGCTTTCAATAGCTCCTTCCTGTGAAAAGACAGCAAGTAAATGTCACATGAAGAACCTTCTTCTGGGTGCTCATAATGTGTCTCAGTTTTAGTTCTTATAGACCTACAATTTCAGCTGATGGTATCCATTGTCAATACCCTGACTGAATACCTGAATGGGTAATATTATATGCACAGAGTCACAAGTCACAACTCATTGTGGGACCACCTAGGGTGCCAATAGATACAAATATACATTTTTACAAATAATAATGAAGTGCTAAGAATATTCATCTTGATGCAAATATTCATCCAATAATAACGAATTGCTGTGAATATCATAACATCAGAGTGCAAAATAAAAATGCAGTTTAAAATGCAGCTAGTGACTTCACTGACTTCAAATACTACTACTTTCATTTATGGAAGTATGCATATCATGACAATAATCATAACGTAAGAAGAAACTAGTCAATGCATGACGAAGCAGACAGAGAGAGGGAAGAAGGGAGGGAGGGAAAGAGAGAGATTACTTTGTTGCATCAGCTGCTGATGTGTTTGAGGACACGCCATTATCTGAGACAATTTGAAAATTGTGACATAGTAATATAATGGAGGTCAAATTTGCAGTACTAGGTGAAAATAGATGCCTTTTAACTTCAAGTTACTTTATTTCAGACCAGGTGAGATGAAACTGCATTTCTTTCCATCAAGGCAACGGTGCAATGATGAATTAATTTTCCAAAACGATGGCTACAATAGCAAGGTGACATGGAACACTTCATAGCTGGATTAATTTAGTACTGTACGTAGTATAATATAAAAACATCCTCAACTTTACAACATAAAATATCGTTATATTTCATTTTTCAGTATTTCTGAGATTTCATTATAAAACTTAAAGACAATTATCACTAGGGATGATTACTATTTGGATTTTGGATATAACTGTTACTTTAGTCATATTTAAATTATACTATTAAAGTTGTAGTTAGTTATTGCAAAAGTCCTGGTTAGTGTAGAATAGTATTGTTCGATGATAGTTGTTCCCTCCGTCCTGTTTTGTAAGATACACTTTCTTTTTGGGTTGTCCAAAAAATTGAATACTTTTCTAAATTGAACTCTATTAACACTTTACTTTCCCATTTTGTTTATTTATCGATCATTTCACCTTTTACTTTTGTGGATCCATCTTACTTTTTCTTACGTTTTGGGGGTTAGAACTACAGGACAACCACTTCCACCTTTATTTTTTTAAAACGCGCGTCACTCAATTATGGGAGGGAAGGAGTATTTATCTGTGTTTAACACAATTGTATCTTACATTAGTAGTACAATATCAGGTAATTCCCTTTCTTTGACTCCACTTCAAGCATATACACCCAAAACAAGAGCAAGATTAACATGTGTGTTTAATTTGAGGGTGCCCTCATGCCGAAGGGCCAAAGGGCACAGTTGAGTACAAAATATTCTGGTGAGTACTCTAAAAGACTTTCCACAAATCCTTCATCTTTTGTTTCCTTTGTTATGAGGTGTCTAAACCGCCATACAATATATCCTACTCTATTTATTTTAATATATGCATGGGGAGATGTAAAAGAACTACGAAACTAAATTAGCACCAGTTTACATTGTATAAATTGAGATATAACACATTATAATACTCTTATGTGAGGGGTGGGTAAAGGCCTAGAAAACAATCAATAATTTGGTTTATTGGCACTAAACAACATACCAGAAAATCCCTGATCTCCTGTTTCCTGTTCAAGGAGGAAAAGAAACTCTAAATTAGGTCTAGTTTAAGTGTACAATTCTAAATGGTATTCATAGATGTCAAAAACATCTACCTGTGAATATATTCTCCGAGCTGATTCAAGTTGCGATAGTTCAGCATCATAGGTATTGACAAGCTCCATTACCTCTGGTGTATTAACAAATTTGACAAACCTAGAGAATAACTACTGATTAGATATGTCCTTTATCTCACACTATTACGGTATTACCTTTAAATACAGAAATATGATTTTGTCCCTTCACCTATCAAGTGTCCCTTTTGTGAACCATGATTTGACACTTCTCTGCCCCCCAACCTCAAGTTTAATAAAACTAGCTGATGATGCAACCTGCTCTTCAGAAAATTTCAACTGACTGATAAAGGGCTTCACTAACCCTGATGCCAGTTTTTCAGTCTTTCCATTAGCGGTAACAAATAGTTCGCATCTGTCCAAATAACACCCCAAGAAGTAAAGTACGGAGTATTATATAATACTTTCTGATGAATTCATCGTACGAGACCAAAGAAAATAAAGATAACTTCTTTATTGTGGTGGGGGGTTACCGTGTTCGCTTGGGTGACAGTTGAAATGATGCATAATCAAGAAGTGTGTCCAGTTCCATTTTCTTCTTACGCAGGGAGGAAAGCTCGAGATTTACCTATGCCACTTTCACCTTACACATTCACCAAAGAAAGAAAAAAATACGTCACTGCTATGGAAATTAATATGTAATTGCAATTTCCTCTTAGTTCCATCACCTAAGGAATATAACATCCTAAGCTAATACAAGTGGTAAAGAATCCGGAAAAAAAAAGCCAGTTTATGTAAAGACAGATCACAACGTCAATTTTACAGTTTGCAATGGAAGTGCAAGAATTAAAGAACTCATCAAATGACCAAAACCAAATTCAAATGTCAGGCGCCATATAGTCTTCCTTCAGATCTGACTACGTAAAATGCAACAATCAAGCGCAACACTAAATTTCCATCTCTAATCAAACAAACCAGCTCTTAAAAATAAGCACAGATTTCCTCAAGCATTAAGTAAAAGTAAAAGAAGAAAGCTGCATTGCTCTGATTAAACCAAGCACAGATTTACCCAAGTTCAGGTTACTAACCTCAAAACACAACATATTAGCTGCAACTCTGATACATAACAGTAGACATCACACTGTCATGCACATTAGGGTCGCGGAATTCGAAGCTAACCTAGTGAAAACCGACTTCGAGATCTCGAATTTCCAGCTGGATCATCCGATCTGAAATTCACTATAGCCGACATTTTGGTGCTCCTCGCCTATATATCTCTCAGCATTGGAAGCAACGAAAGACAGATAATACCTATGCCTTTTTCCCCTTTGGTTGAGAGAGGATTATGGGTTTTTCTTTTTTCCAGTTCTAAGAAAACCCTACTAGGCTCTTAGCTGTGTTCTCAATGGCTTGAGCTTCTACTCTCTTCTTTTAACTCTAACTCTATGAATGTATACACTGAAGAAATGGAGATCAAATCCATACAATGAGAAGGATGACTGGAGGGAGTAGTAGACGTGTGAATGGATGGAGCTTCAGGCGAGTAAATTTAAATTTTTGTGGCCTGTTTTACAATTCTGTAATTAGCTGGGAGGAAAGACAAAACTTGAGAATTGCACGTTGCGGGTGTATGTTTCAAACATGAATATCTAAAAACAAGTAAAGAACCATACGTCCTATCAAAAAAAAAGTAAAGAATCATACATAGGGACTCTTTCGGATATTTTTTTACCCTAGGTAAACTGGAATCAATTTCACTTCATTGATAATTTAACTCGGGACCTCCCATAAAGGAGAGTGAGTTGGTGATCAGTTGAGCTGGACCGCTTCCTGTTATTTTTTTAAGTGATTATTGAAAAAATAATTTATAGTAAAAGTAGGTAATGTTTGAGAATAGAAGTGATTTTAGTTAATGTGTAAAAGTTGGAGTGTTTGATAAAAAAGTGATTGTGATGTAATATTTTTCGAAAAAGTACAAAAACATCCCTTGCTAGCATCTCCCGCATAATCTTCGTCTTCTTCATCAGTACATCTTCACGCTGGAGCTCCCAATGGCAAAGGTTTGGAGGTGGGGTGAGGCAGATGGAGATGAGAGTCCAGCATGAGAGTCATCTTCACGTCATAGCTTCTAGAGCGGCATCTCTGCTGCGTCTAGATCGGACTCCATCAGGTCAGCATCGTCGCTTCCAGGTCAGCGATGTGCAGTACCTTTGTCGGTCGGCAAAGTCCGGCATCCTTGTAGGCCGGCGACTCTGGGTCAGGAGTTCCCTTAGGCAGACGACACCCTTAGGCGGAAGGCATGGGCTAGCCTCCTTCACTCGACAGCACAGGTTGGTCACCTGCGCGAGTGGGGCAGATCGGTCGTTTTATTTGAGGGTATTTTGGGGGTTTAGAGATTTTGTTGCCATTATTATTATCCATAAAGTTTGAGTTAATTACAAGTATACCTAGAAGCACTTAGAAGCTGGTATATTCCAACTTCTAGATTTTAACTTTAAAGCACTTTTTTAATTAGAAGTTGGGATTTGCAAACACATTATTTAGCTTTTTTAATCTAATAAAAGCTTAGAAGCATTTATTTAAAGCAATAGCAAACACCGTTGTAATATACGGTAGGATTGGGCATATCCATTTGGTTTAATCGAGTCATATCAAACTAAACCAAATTGAACTTAAATGAGAAGATGCAATTTGGTTTGACTTTCATAGTATACCTTTCAAATAGTATTAAACTAAATCGGATTGAACTAAATTGAAAAATAATACGAAGTATAATTCTTGTTTGATAATAATTCTTTTAAAATGCTCCAAACTGAATCGGAATTGATAAAAACCAAACGGAAAACCAATATACACACCCTCATTATATTTTATTGTCGTCTTATTGAAATGGGTATACCACATTTTGGTATTCTAAATTTTGCTACATCAAAATTCAGACACAGTATCAATACATTATCATTTCATACTGAGTCAATGTAACAAATTATAATTATAATTCAGTCTATTTTTCTGTTGACCTAGTTTTCGCTTTATTTACTTATTTATGATAACATATTATTATTATTTTATATTTGAATTTTGCGAGTTTGTAATCTTTTGAATGTAGTTTTAGTAAAAAAATATTTTATTTATGATTTCAATATTAATTATTATGAACAATTTAATTAGTAAAATTGATCTAATTATCTCCCATTCAATTTTCAACAAAATTATTAAGATTATGTTTCAACATTTTCGGCACACCACATTTTGAAATAACACATCCTCCAAAAAAAAGTTAAATCACATAAATATAAATAGAAAATACCAATCCCCACAAAGAAGGTAAAAATATTCAAACAACATGCATGTTAAAGTCATTTATTCCTAATGATGTTCTGCTTCTTATCATTTTTATAATTTTAAAGGATTTTATTGGGTCGGGTTTTTGGTGGAACATTATATCAATATATCGACTTTTTCCAGAATGGTTGAAGATACCATGGCCTTGTTTGGTAAATGGTTGTTAGCTGTTGCTGGTAGCTGGTTGTGTCAGCTGTTGCGAAACAGCTGGTTGTGTTAGCTGTTTTGACCGACTGGTTATGTTGGTTGATTATAAATAACTGTTTGGTAAAATTGGCTCTTTCGAAATGGCTGATAGAGTGTAAATTGAACCAGCCAAATGAAGAAGCTGCTCCCCTTAGCTTCTTCCACAATCCATTTTTTCAGCTTTTCAAACTCAACAAGCTAATTTTAAAAGCCATTTACCAAACATTATTATTAGCTTCTTTGACTAATCAAACAGTTGAAATGGGTCAAACAAGCTAAAAGCTGGCTGATAAGCCATTTGCCAAACATACCCCATATCTATAATCTATCGAATGTTACGTTATTATATAAAAAATTGGGAGAACTATCAAATAAGCCATCGAACTTTCATAAAAAGTGCAAATAAGTCCTTTTATAGGAGGCTCTGTCCGGCCGTCGCCATTTCGGGCGGTTTCCGGTGGAATTTTTTGATGATTTTTTGAGTATCTACTTCATTAAGTCTAGTTTATTCGTATCAAATTTCAGCTAAAAATTCAATCGGGAAGGCAGTCAAATGAATTTTTTAGGATAACTCGCAGTTAGACAGCGCAATATATTTCAGAAAATCATTTGACTGTCTTCTCGATTGAATTTTTAGCTGAAATTTAGTATGGATAAACTAGAATTAATGAAGAAGATGCTCAAAAACATTCATCAAAAAATTCCATCGGAAATCGCCCCAAATGGGGATAGCCGGACAAAACCTCCTGTAAAAGGACTTATTTACACTTTTTATGAAAGTTCGAGAGCTTATTTGATAGTTCCCCTTAATTTTCGGTAATTTTCGGTAATTTTCCCGCTTAATTTAAAATTTTAAATGTAAGTATAGTGTCAAGAGTCAAGGCATGTGCTTAATATACGGCTTTACTCTTACGTGGTTGACTCATACGTAGTACTTCGTATGAAAAACAACTGTGTGCTTATACAAAAAATTGTTTCCTTTTGGATGCACCAACAAATAAGAATTTTCTTAAAATAAGTACTTCCATTATTTTGAGTTTGACATTTGGTCCATGTATTAAAAACACCTAATTATGTCCTTCACTGTTACAAATTAGTCAAACAAAATCTTTAGAAATTGAAAGCATGTTTTTGTATTAATATCCTAAATTCGTGAATATAAAGTGGGTGTCGCATTAAATGTTTTTGAGATTTTGGAAAATAAAACGCCTTTAGTATTGGTGTTTTAATACGATATTTATAGTAACTAATGTAAGGCATTTTATAATAATTTTGTTAATTAATTTGTATAGCACGCAAGCGCCTGAATGTCTTATAAAAATTAGAGTATCTTGGTCAATGAGAAAAACGTACAAATCTAACAAAAACTCGTTTTAAATAAGTTAATTTTACTAGTTTTTCAAATAAAATTATAAAATAGAAACAATGTTTCATATTATTTTTATTACTAAGTCATTGATATTTTTAGTTTAAATATTTTACTAAATACGGAGTAATTATTTAATAAGGTGAAATTGGAAGATATATTAGGCTTTTTGTTAAGGTATTTGTCAAAATAATAAAACAATATATAAAGTTCTGAGTTACTCCTCCTACTAGGTTGACTTTTTAGGAAGGAACTCCGGATCTTAACATGGTATCAGAGCCAAGTGTGATTGTAGTTTGACTGTTTGTTTAGCATCCATAATTAATGGTACTTGTTAATGGTCTGTTTGGCTCATTTATACACCCCGATATTGTCCAACCTGATTCGGACTGAGGTGACGCCCATAATTAAGGGTGGCTTGTTAAAGGTGTGTTTGGCTCATTTATACAACCTGATATTGTCCAGTCCGGTTCGGACTGAGCTAGGTGACGTGTTAAAGTATTAGGATGTAATCCCGAATCTCAACAATTCAAAATATAAAATCAAAAATTAGTTGTGAAGATTAAATGGCTAATTCAACTTTTCATTCATTCTCCTCAATTGCATCTTGGCTTGCACTTAGAATCCGGCTTTTTGTTTCTTTCTTTTTCTTTCTTTTCTACGTTTTAAAGTTCATTTGAGACAAGGATAAGTGTGAAGCAAGCAACGACACACTCTTTTGGAGTAACGCTCACATACGGAGACCTCCACGCTTGAAGTAATGCTCGAAAAGATAGTTTAATCCTACTTTAATTTTGAGAACTAATTTAATTTAGATGTTATACAAAAAATGTTTGGTATAATAGTAGATATTGTTTGATAATAATAAAAAACGTTTGCTTTTTACAAATTCAAAGTTAAAGTTTATGGTGATTTTTTATATTAATTAGGTTAAAATAACACTGAAAGAAGTGTCAACAAATCATGCTTATTATATATACTGTACTTATGTCATATTTTAATATTTTTGGTGTTTTTAAATCAAAATAATTATTTAAAACATGTAACATTTTAAGTATAGTGACATGACTTTAGAAGACTAGTAACTTTGGTCATAGTCATTTATATTCAAGTTTTCCATTTAAGTTTATTTATGATAATTTTTAGGGGTTTTAACATGAATATTACTAAAAACTAGGTAATGGACAAAAAAGAGATCTTTTTAGTTTCAACAAATGTGACTAATAAACACCTATTTGTCTAAATTACCCTTTGTTGGAGCAAGAATTTGACGGTTTATGTGGCATTAAAGAGGGTTGACCGTAGAAATTAATTATACGTCCATGAGGCTTAATGATGACTGTTATAACGGATTTGTATTTATTATTGTAATTAGTAACGTAATTAAGGCTGTAGGTTACTCAATTTGAGCTGGCCAGCATTAATGATGAGTTGTGAAATTGTCGGATCGGAACAGCCAAATCGTCTGTAACGGACAACTAGGCTATTAATTACCCTTCCTATAAATAGGACATCCCCCCATTGTAATCTAGAGCTTCACATTCGAACAACACGCTAAAATACACTCTTATTCGCTCACTTGTCATCTTCCTTATTATTCTTGTACGAGACCCATTCTTCACATAATTTTATTTTTTAATTAGATTTAGTATATCAAAAAATTGCTTAAACAATTTGGCGCCCACCGT